CCCGTCAATGTCAGGTACGTATTATGTATATGAGACATTGGCGGGGGGGGGGGTATTTTTCATTACTTCACAAGGATTGTAAAATAGCTACAGTTACGAAAGTTCGCCCCGCTCAATGCACATCACTATTATAGTTCAAATATGCATTTAGTGTACATGATCACGTAGGTCGCCACATTAAAGAAAAAAATACGCCCCCAGTTTCACAGAGTGTGAAAAAACAGACACGAATACTAGTCAGTTGACTGCTTGGTTATATACCCTAGATATAAAATATGTTCCTCACCCACTTGGCTATTATCGCCGATTTTTCGTCGCCGGAATGATTACATCGTAAATGTTGGTTCACCGAGCGTCTCTAATAAATCATCTATCTAACCGCTGGACTAAATTAATGTTATTATCAAAAAAATCATAGAAGATTTGGCGAAAATCGGTCGTTTTTGGCATCGACCTATTTTCGCTCGGAAACGCAAGGGCGATAAGACTCGATTTTCAAGGACGCAGGTTGTTTGAATCGGAGTGTTTCTTTTGTTTCGAGTTCGGTGTAGGTCTAGAAACATAACAACGCTGTTTTTTAGTGAATACAGAATATGTTCTGTTTCAATGAAGGATTTTAATATGCCAATCGGGCAATTTTTACAACTTTTTACTAGAGCGTCCCCTGTATAAATAGTCATCTACTCCCTAAAAATTTACAATAGTACTAGCCAAGAATGAACCTCCTGCTCAGCGCGTCTTTGGTTGTAGCAATGTTTACGCTACTGTACGAAATACGCACACTTGTTAATTTGACAACATTCGCTTGAGCGTTTTAGCACAGGGACCCTAGGAACAATGATCAACTGTACGCACTCCCTATGAGCGGGGGGGGGGGGTATCGGCTGGTATCTAGTGTGAGAAATAGAAAAGGAATGAAGGCTCAAGCCAGCTCACATTTTTAAACTCAAAAAAAAAACAGACGAAAAGTACCAGGTTGAAGAATGTTAGTTGCTCCTTCAAATTTCGCCAAAGCCTTACCGATATCTGCAGAATAAATCAAGAAAACTACACAAATTGCCCGATTTCCACCAACTTAGAAATATATTCAGGCGCCCTGCTCCGGTTTTCCAAATTTATTGAAAGAACGATTCAAGCGGGAAAAAAAAGGCTGAAAACTATGAAGATATTTAAAAAATGATCACAGCCAGATGGGCCTTTGTCATCGTCATTTCCTTACAATATTTTATTTACCTGTTCCAATACTCAAAAGTTCAAAATATTCGATATGGCCCATGTATTCAATGATAAATAAGTTACCTTTCAAGGAAAGGAGAAAAAAAGGAAAATTTGCTGTTATGCGGGCTCTGGTTTGGCGACTCTAAGCCTCTAATTTCTTTTGCAAGGCCTCTAAATGAAAAATTAGTATCACTAGAGGAAAGAGGTATTAAGATTACAATTGATGATTATGCAACTTGTAGAGCTTTTCTTATTTGTGGAACTGCTGACTTGCCTGCAAAAAGTCTTGCTATGAATTTTGTACAGTATAATGCTAGTTATAGTTGTATAAAATGTTATCAAAAGGGCGAAACTGTATTCACTAAAGAAGACCATAGAGGACATGTACATGCATATAAATATCAGGATGCTAACCCACTGGGTCTTCAAAGGGATAGTAGTAGGTGTTTAGACTATGCTCGTGAGGCTGTTACAAGTGGGGTTCCTGTTTATGGCATAAAAGGTCCAAGTTTTCTAATGGGTCTGAAACATTACAACTACATTCAAAGTAGCACCATTGATTATTTGCATTGTGTGTTATTGGGTATTGTCAAACGCCTTCCTGTCTCTGTGGTTTTCACCATCGTATTCTACCAATATATTTTCATTATTAAACCATGTTGATCTTGTAGATGAGCGTTTACTCAAAATCAGACCTTACAATATAACAAGAACACCAAGATCAATAAGTTCTCATTTAAAGTATTGGAAAGCTTCAGAGCTCAGGCCATGGCTTTTGTTTTACTCACTCCCATTGTTGTTGGATATCATGGATCCTGACTTTTATACTCACTATTGTTCTTTTGTAGAGGCAGTATGGTTGTTAACCCAGGACTCCATATCTGTCATGGACTTGGATCAAAGTCAGCACTTTTTTGAATATTTTGTATGGGGCACTTTGAATCTTCATTCTTTACTTCACTTGCCTGACTGTGTAAAAAGTTTGGAACCTTTCTGGGTACATTCATGCTTTGCATTTGAAGATGCTAATAGAGAATTACTCAAACTGTTCCATGGCACACAGAGTGTTGACTTGCAAATTGTAAATTCATTAAATGTAATTCAATTATTGCCATCATTGATCAAATCTGTACCATTAGGATCTGAAGCTGGTAAATTTTTGATAAGAATGCACAACACTGAGAAATTAAAGGTCACTCAGCACTTAGATTTTGACACATTTGCACTAGGTAAAAGCTATTCGAAAATATTACCAAACGCTTTATTACAACAAGTCGCAGAAATACTTGGGGAAGTTCCTAATCTTGTTTTTTTAGTAGAATTAAATTCAGAAGTCAAATTATTCATTCGAAGGAGTATACAAGAGTTTTTGTAAGAAATTCATATACAATTAAATATATTGTTGATAACTGCATATATTATGGTTATGTCAAATACTTTGCTGCTCATAGGGCTTGCACTACTAATTGCAGTAACGTATGTTCATCTGTAACCCTAGCTTTCATTTCCCGCTTGGATAGTTTAGACAACACCTTGGTTGTCAATACTGAGAATAACCTAAATTACATTGGTGTCAAACTTCCTCATATCCACAAAGTGAATGGGAATACTAATCGAACTGATGTCATACATGTGCGTAGTATTATATCTCTGTGTCTCGAGGTTTCTTATCCACAAAATCTTTATGTATGTGAATTTCCTTGTTACCTATAGAAACTGATAAAATGCCCCTACATTTTTTTGGATAGAATATGTATGAACCCTTTGATTAAACACTTAAACTATGATGATAGCTTAAAGGACGTGGTAGTAGCACAGCGTATCTTCGAATATTGTGCAATGCATTTCACATGCATTGTACCTGTCACTATTAAACAGGAGGTGGTGTGACAACCAATACCCCTTAAAGCTTGCCTTTTTTTACTTGTCAACAATCACTTATTGTATTGTCATATTATTTATTTGACTTTACAGTAAATACTACAATTTGCTTATGTATGTTAATATGTATGTGTAGTGATAGTTGATTTTGTGTGCGTGGAAAGGGTGCTTATATAATAGCTTTGGTCTTCCACATTGACGGGCAAAAGTGGCGGCCCTTTGTCCCGTGCTGGTATTGATTGGATTGTCTCTCTGCACTTGAATTCATACCATTTACCATTATCCACTACTAATGTCACTGCCTTTATTTGCTTCCATACATTTGTTTATTCTGTTAAAAATACATAAATTTGGAAAGTATACATGTATATTAACTGTGCTCAAGACTGGTAAAAATAACATGCAGTAAATGTTACAAATTATTGTGTGCAATGATCATATTACAATTCAAATTATATATTGAAACTGTGAATAGTTGCTTTAACATAAATTCAGGGAATTGTGACTGAAATATAGAGCAATCAGAATTAAAAATAAAATATACAATTTTGCACCCCCCCCCCAAACAAAGAAACAAATCACAGCATTTCTGAATACTTAATTTTTTTTATAACTTCATAAAAATCTTTTAATAAGGGATATACACTGGGATGAACACGATAAAGACACGAAACTATAACGCATTTAATCGGACATTTCACAGTCAAACGTCGTGAAAGGCCTAGCAATCTGACAGGAAGTACGAAACCTGCAACGATCTAGCCATGGTCACTACGCCTCTGGCAAGTAAAACTGGGGAAAACACAAACTGACGAAATTGTGAAGCATATAGGCCTCAATGTTACCTTCCGACCAGTCATTCGTTCAATATTATCATGCAAGTGGAGGTGTTCCGACCGACGTGATCGTGCGATATCTGTTTTCGCAACTCGCGGTAGCAGTTTCATTTTGTTCACATGCAATTTTTAAATATAAACAAAGCAACATTCGATTCTTATTAAAAACTTTGAAATATGAATTACGTCGATCGCTGACAGTGCGACATCACTTCATGCACGCCAAAGTAATATTTACGCTATAGGGACCGGGACACGGTTTCCAGTGGTAACGTCAGACGCACACGACAATTTTCTTACCGATTAACCAGATCTTGTTTTTTTTTCGGAAATCTTTAATCCACGACATTCCAACCATCGTCTCAGCCTGTCCACGTTTTTAACGTATGTATGCAAAAGTTTTGCACCTGATACATCGTCTTCGGTTAACGTAACACGTGAAACGCTTGCGAAGCTGCCATATTTTTGGTTTGTCTGTCCGAGTGACATCCAATAGCCTCATGAATATTATGCAATGACATCATTCGTAACCTACGCTGTGCTATGCAGGATAATCCGAGCCAATCTGTGGATATACTGGCAAATTTGTCGAGAGGCATCGATAGAAACATTGACACGGTGCTGGGCTGTGATTCTGATGTTGTTGACATGTCAACAGAACCGGTGTATATTCAACGTGAATTTGGAGATCGTGTTACAACAGGAACACAGACTTTGATTTGCCACCAATGATGTCCATGTACAAACAGGAATTATATTCCGTCAAAATGTAAGTCATCGTAATCAGTAAAAATTATGATGGAAATATTCTGGTATACACAGTTGAGTTTATTCATAACGTACCTTTATCAACAGTCATTGATAATTTAGTTCATACAGACCAGGACAGTAGGCTGTCAAACTAATATAACAAAAACCAAATCAACATTATTTCAAACACAAACTTTAAAAACTAGAACCAGAGGATTAATAATAAACACTTTGAGGAAGTTGATCGCAAAAATATGTTTGCTTATTGTATTGTGACCCAGGTTATTTGAACCTCAAATATATCTCTCTTTGTTGACACCGAGTTTGTTTATATCCGGAAATCTTTGTGTAATCATTAACATGGCATTTGCCCAACTATTTCGGATTAGCGCCCACACAGGTCACTTGCATTGTCTTGCCTGTGCGATCTTTCACCTCTCTATGATATGTTATTTAGGTAAGATTTTTGTATTGACTCTGAATATCCATCGTAATCCTATTATTTAATTTATATCTTGTTTAAAACATAATCACCTTGGCATTATGCCTGTAAAGTTTTGTTTCTTAAGTATTACTTTCTCGAGGATTTGAATTTGATACGAGTTATAGGTAAACGTGCAGTCATTTTTCTTAACTTTAGAAATGTTCATGTATGAGGAAGTTATGCATCCCAATTAAAAGTTGTGTCTTTCACCTCTCTATGATATGGTTGTTATTTATAATAAAATAAAATAAAGATACGAGACTATCATCAACCACAATTGATCAAACTCTTGTGTGTATGTTTTCCCGTATATTGCGTAAATACGCAATTTGAAATTATTTTCATGTAATTCCAGTGTGTCAAGCCAGAAGCCTAACTTGCAGCGAAAACTGATAGTTTTTGAAACCAATCTTCTTCAGCTGTTCAGCATATATGTTGATGCAGAAGTGAGACTAGTGGTACTGTTAAGCAAACCATTGGTTCATGTGTTGTCATCAACCAGTAATGTGATTCCTGTGGGTATTTGAGAGAATAGTGTAGCCAACCATTTATTCAAAATACACCAGCTGGAAATATCATTCTCTCCGCAGCAGTCCTCTTTGCTGGCGCCAACATTGGGAAAGTTTTGAAAGTATACAGACACTTAAACTGCATGACCATTACAAGTCGGACATATTTGAATCATCAAAATGACTACCATACTTTCAATCTGGAAAAAACATCAAAATACATAAGAGAGGAGATACCTGAGGCAGTACATCCATACGATGTATGGCATGTGGCCAAAGGTAACTATTCCATATAATAATGCTTTCAAAAAAATATGATTATTGATGTTAAAATAGTTGGTCCAACACAGTATATTCACTTTGCCATACCCTCCTCCAAAAACACAAATATCAAAACTACACGATACAATTATATTTTTTATCAGGTTTGAAGAAAAAAGGTCAATGCTCCGTCTAAACTGAAAGGATGTGAAGATGTTGGCTTATGGAGAATGAGTTTGGTAAATCATATGTATTGGTGCTCCTTGTCAACTCGAAGTGGAGACAGGGAGATGATAGCAGCCAAATGGAAATCTATAGCAAACCATGTCCAGAATAAACATTCAGGTCTTGGTGAGCAGTTTCCAAAATGTAGGCATGGACCATTGCATGGAAGAGAGACAAAAATAATGGTTGAAACGAAGTAAGAAATTATTTTATTACAAATTAAAAGTAAATGACCCATCACAACAATTAAAACAGAGTAGTGGGTCGACAAATTACAAAATTAACGTTCTCATCATCATATATATGTGTTGTCAAGGTGAGGTCTTAGAAGGGAAAATCCTGCTAGTAGGAATAAAACGAATTGCTTACTTTTGGACTGGTATTTTCATCATCAGCTTTTTCCATTAATAAAATATCATTTAATATTGTACCAGAATGCCAGTATTAGTTTGTTTATTTTCATAGGCCAGTTGACATTAAAGTGCAGGGCAGAACCAGGACCGGAGGACAGTTTGCCATTAAATATCCAAAATATAAAGGTGGTGATTACATTGTCAGACAAATTAATCAAGATTGCACCTATGGTAAGTGTAAACACAGAAGCGCGTACAATACTGGTAAATACAGAAAGATCCTAGAAAACTAATTGACTAGCAATTTTGTTTTCCTTAGCCTAAGAAGTTGACCCATTAGAAAGTCGTGGGGAAGATTTTGAATAAAAAATAATCTACACAAAGAACATTTTTGAAAACAGTTACAGTAAAAATATATAGATAAACAAATCACACACATACTTCAAAATTTGTTTTTTACAGCGACAAACATTTTTTCTATCTCTACAGGTTATGTGGACGAGCTGTTACCGGAAATGGATTAGTGTGTCTCTCGCCAGATTATCCTACCACGTCTTGGTGCAGTACCTGAACCACTAAACGGCCAGTTTA